GGGAGCTTTTCAGGAACAGATGTCTGCAAACCTCAATAAATTGAAGCATTGTTGTAAAATAGAGTGGGTCAAACTTCCTCCAAAATAATGGGAGAATGATTAAATCTTACTGAAATTTACTAAAAGTTAATGCTGGTCGTAGAAGCTATTGAATGGGATGACCTAAGTTTTTTTGCATAGCTTTTCCATTTTCTCTTTGTTTTTCAATTCAATTCAGTTTATTTATAAAGCGCCAAATTACAACAAAGTTGTCTCGGGGCACTTTACAGAAACATTCACTCACATAAAAGCCAATTAGTAAAGTTCTCTATCTAAGGAATCCAGCAGACAAGTTGAATCTTCGCTTCGTTGCAGTCTCCCATCCTGAGCAAGCACAGTGGCAACAGTGGAAAGAAAAAGTCCCTTTTAACAGGAAGAAACCTCCAGCAGAACCAGGCTCAGGACAAGCGGCCGTCTGCTTTGACCGGCTGGTTTTTGATGATTAAAGAACGACATTGTAGAATTTGTGTTTTGTACAAAGTTAGGGGTGAGTAAATTTGACAACCTCGTAAAGACCAAAGTATTTTTATTTTGTCTTGATACAAAAACACAGAATTTAAAGAGACTACATCTTTGACAAGACAAAAATGTTTTTGTGTATGTATATTAAACCCCAAACAAATCTGAATGTGTTGTATAAAATACAGTAACGGGGATCCTTCCCCATGTGCAGCGTAATCGTGACTTTGTTACTTGGAATAGTGCAGCGCAGCTTTCTTTCTTTTGGGTCCTGTGTTAAACCCTCTGGAGTTCCTGACAACATAAACCACCACAGTCAAGCCATTTAAAAAACAGAGGAAAGTTCCAGTGGACGTGCAAATCACAACCCTGTTGTAGCCATGGCTGGCACTGGCAGCAGCAGTGCTGGAAACTTGAGTAAATATATTTATGTTCTCTCTTTAAAAGGCACTCATGGTCCACAGTGTCCTTTTCCAATTCCTCTGTACAGTTTATTCTACCCCCCAGGCATCGAGTTCCCATGGAACAACTGCTGGCTGATCTGAAGTTCGGGAAAGCCCAAGGAAAAAAAATAAAATAAATCAACAATAAAAAGGAAAGTGTTGAGTTTTCTTTGTCACCACATCCCAACATGCTTCAGTCAGAGGGCTGTGCTGACAGATCCCTGACACGCATGTTTTCTAAAGCAGAAGAAAGCCTATTTTAAAGGTTTACGCCTGTTTGAAACTGCTTAGCAACTGCAGTGTCTGTCAGTGTAAGATGCTCAATGCATGACTATATGTTTCACAACAATGCAGCAAAGTGCACATCATCACAGTTAAGAGCTCTTCATATACAAATTCATTCAGCACTTAACACAAACTGGTTTTTAAACAGACAATTTTGCACAGAAACATTCCACCCAGACTTATCTTTTATACTGGATATTATAATAACCCTAGTAAACATCTTTTGTCTATTCTCCTCAAACTATTACTTCTTTTGGCTGTTCCTTCTTCAGGGGTCTCCACAGCAAGTCCTCCTCTTCCATCTCACTCTGTCCTCTGCATCCTCTGTCCTCACTCCACCTACCTCCATGTCCTCTCTAACATACATCTTCTCTTTGTCTTTTTCCTCGCAGCTGCATTTCTAACATTCTTCTACCAATATACCCACTGTCCCTCCTCTGGACATGCCCAAACCATCTCAGTCTGGTCTCTCTAACTTTATCTCCCAGTTGTTCAACCTGTGCTGTACCTCTGATGATCTCATTCCTGATCTTATCCATCCTTGTCACTCCTAAGGAGAACCTCAACATCTTCATTTCTGCCACTTCCAGTTCTTTCTCCTGTCTTTTTGTCCATGTCTCTGTCTCCAGACCATACAACATAAAATTATGAGTGCACAGATAAATCAGTCAGCCAATTTATTGGCCCCGATTTTCTTAATTTTGAGAAATTGGAAATCAGCCAGTACTTAAAACGAGAAACCGATTTTACCTTTTTTTTTTGTTTTAACAATTGTCTGAACTTCTTTTATATTTCAGAGCACGACCTCATGGCCAGTTAAAACAAGTTTGTATTGTTTCTAGGATATTGTTCAAGGGCGTGTTTTTCAACAAAATAAGATTGGAAAATTGAAGGTGCATTGTGACCTTACAACACCCGACAGTGTCGCTAATAAACAAATTCGGTATCGGCCAAAATCAGAATCTGCAGGTCAGACTTTTTAGAAAGTGGTGATCGGTGATCTGCCAGAAAACTGCAATCGGTGCACCCCTACATAAAATCTATGTTTCCCTTCCATTAGCCAAGGAGGCGCCCCACCCTTTCAACAGAACTAAGCCCCCACCACCCACACAGCAGACAGTTCCACTATTTCTGGATGGGGAGCCGATATTGTAGGAGCTCATACCTAGCATTAATACCGTAACACTTCACTACTTCACCCCCACCCCCTTGACAAAAAACACAGCCAAGACGAGACCCCTCCTAATCCTAGGGGAAGCACTGTAGATAGTCTCAGTACTCACTTGTAAACTTTTCCTTTGACCTTTGCTGCCACTGTTTTGCCACAAATCACTCCTGAAACATTTCTATATCCACTCTGTCCTGCCTGGACTCTCTTCCTGACCTCTTTACCACATTCCCCATTTTCCTGGACAGTGGACCCCAAGTACTTGAAGTCCTGCACCTTTGTGACCTCTGCCTCACTGTTCCACCGGCCTCCCTCTCATTCACACACATGTACTCTGTCTTACTACGACTCTTTCATTCCTCTTCTTTCAAGTGCATGCCTCCACCTCTACAAGTTCTCTTCCACCTGTTTCCTGTTCTCACCACAGATCACAATGTCATCTGTATAGATAGAAAACCTGTTTCTGTTTCAAAGCCTCAAGGACATTCACCCATTGGTGAGTAATTATGGCAAAGGCTGGAACAGGTGCGATTCTTAAAAAATAAATATTACTGGAAAAAAGTACAGATCAAAAATATATTACTGATTATTTTTATTATCGTTATTGACCATCAGCTTTCCAAACCTGTCCGGTAATGGAAGCACCAGCATGGATGCAGCTGGTGCTAATCAGCAGAAGTATCAAGGCCTCAGTCACGCAGCAGATGGCTCACTTTGAGTCAACTTTAAACCGCAGCTCCTTGTGAACTTTGGTGCCAGAGATGAGCCAAATGGAGTGGGGAGAGTTACCATGGAGACACTGCCGGTGTTGATAGTGACGATGATGGTAATGGTGGTGGTGGGTGTGGGGGATGAGCTAGAGCCATTTTGTTGAATTCTACCTGTGTGGCCTTGCCTTCCCATGACTGATCAAAAACAATGGCTCCAACAAGCTCAAATTCCAGGTAAGCGTTCATGTATCCTAGATTTCCTTTAATTCAATTAAATGGATTATTTAAACATTATATTCACTGACTAAAGAGCCCTTTAATAATTTTGCATTTCAAGCTTTGTGTTAAAAGCCAAGACTCCACTAAAAGACTGAAACAATTCATTTTTCCTTCTTTCCTGTGTTGTAATAATGAATTAATGCAGTGACTGTGTGTGTCTCTCTCACACACACACACACACACACACACACACACACACACACACACACAAACACACAGTTGGCACTTCCTCCTTTCGCACATATTGCTTCAAGCAACCTGAAACAAATCACCAGCCGCACAAAACTCAGGATTACTCTCCCAAAAACCTGGACATGATGGTGCCAGTATGTTCTTCTAGGGGGTCGAGACAGGGTAGAGGTAGGGCAGCCGACTGGGGACCAGAAAGTCACGGTTCGACTCCCAGCCATTCCTACATGTCGTGGTGTCTGAGCGAGAGACCTAATCCCCAATTGCTCCCCGGGTGCTTGCATAGCTGCCCACTGCTCCACCTGGGTGTATCTCAGGTGTGATGGGTTAAATGCATTGAACTAATTCCACCATTGTATGGGAACGTACAGTGATGACAATCTCAGACTTACCTTCCCTTCTTCTGGGGGGTGATATCTATGTGTGCCCAGCATACACACAGATGTTGGTGCAACCCATCTGACAATTATACTATTTTTAGCAAGGTTGCTCACGTATTATGGGTGCGTTTAAAGCGTGCGGGGGGGGGGGGGACTGTCTGTATGTACATGTAACATGTGGGGGAGAGGGTCAGAATGTGACAAAGATCCAGCAGCATCCAGGTGGTGAGACTGAGAGCATGGAAAGCAGAGGAAAGGGGAAAGCTGTGGAAACTTAAACTGGGCTTTAAATACACACAGTGACCACAGCAGAGCCTCTATAACACACACACATACACACACACGCACGCAGCCCACAGAAGAAACTTATGTAATACAGTTTGAGAGATTCAAACAGTCTTTCCAAACTCATGAATGGAAGCTGGGTGAGTGTGTTTCTGGGTGTGTATGTAGTAATGGAAGCGTACAGACAGTTAGGTGACAGCAGAGAGTGCTGTGTGGGGGTCGGAGCAGCATAAATTGGTCACAGGAAGTGACAGTTAAAAAAAATTTTTTTTTTTTTATTTTTTTTTTTTAAATCAGCGTGATGCAGTTATAGCTGACCTGCCACCTCCACAATGTCTCCTGGGACTATGTCTCTGGCTTTGATCCTCTGGACAGCCTTGCGGTTCATGCGATACACCTTCCCCATTTCCGGTTCATACTCTTTCAGAGCCTCAATGGCGTTCTCTGCATTTCTCTCCTAAACAGAGACAATGAAAATGAAGAGGAGAAGTTGTGACAGATAATATTATATTTTATTTCTTCGACTGATGTCTTACACTTATCGTCACCGTCACTGTGGGTAAAAATGTTACAAATAGCCCTGAATTGAGACTTTTTCCACCATTTCAAGACAACAATACGTATTATTTCTTTATTTTACACTGTGTGAAAACACTTCTGTTTCCTCTTCAATACTAGTGAAGCCAGGACAATATTTTACATGAATACTGTAATTTGTTCATGTTTTAATTTGACGGCCCTCTGTGATGAGCTTTATGGACTTCGATAGCATTATCTTAGTTTGATTACAGCTCTCGGAAAAATCAGTTCATAAATTCATCCTGCGAAAGCTTGGGTAAACTGTCGCAACAGCAAAGTTACCATGGATAACAGGCACTTGGATACACTTTACACAGAGACAAACATGAAGAGCATATCTCACCTGCCAGACCCCAATAACAGCATTGGCAATGAGGATCAGAAGAATAACAACAGGCTCTACAAAGGCGGTGGTTGTTTCTTCTCCCTCTTCAAACAAAGCCAAGACCTAGAAAAACACACAGATCAAATCAAACAAGTGCTGAAAATCTTGACACCCAAAATACACATTGGCGTTCTTAAAGCCATAGTTTATCTCTTAGAGGTTATGAAAAACTAATATCTGTTGTCCTGGGTTAGATTTTGAAGCGGAAGCTGGTGGAAATCTGGAGGCAGCTGAGGAGTACCGGAGGGCCAAGTGGGCCGCAGCCTTGGCTGTTGCTGAGGCAAACGCTTGGATGAGGGAAGAGTTTGGTGAGGCCTTGGATAGAGACGCTCAGTCAGCTTTGAGGAGATTATGGAAAACCATCAGGTGACTGAGGAGGGGAAAACAGTGCTTTATTAACGCTGTGTTTAGTGCAGGTGGGATCAGAATCAGAATGCCTATATTGTCATTATACGCAAGCACAATGAGATTGAGAGCCACTCCTTTTACAGTGCAAAACATGCTTAAAAAAAGCATGCCTAAAAATATAAAAATGTAACGCAATATAGATATAATAAAACTATGAAAGTTAAAAAAAAAAGTTATTTCACAATTATGTAAATTTGAATATTGTACATTATGAATATTAGTGAGGTAATTAAGAGGTAAGGTAATTAAGAGTATGAAATGTCAGTAGTATTGCACAATAGAAGGCCAGGGGTTTGGGAGGTCAGATTATTAAATCAGTGCATATGTGAGTTCAGTGTGGTGATGGCTTTTGGGAAAAAATGTTCTTGAATCTGTTTGTTCTTATTCTGATGCACCTGTAGCACTTCCCTGAAGGTAACAAGTCAAACAGTTCAAAACCCGGGTGAGAACTGTCCTTAATTATGCTTTTTGCTCTGTTGAGGCAGTGTCATGTGTAAATGTCCATCAGGGAGGGGAGAGGGCAGCCAATTATCTTGCTGTTGGATTTTGGTGCTGGATGGATGCTGTTGATCTCAACCAGTGATGGCACTGGGAGGTGGAAGGAATACATTGGGTGCAGTGCCACTGGACTGTCAGACTGGGGTGGTGGTTCGCCACTTCAAAAAGGGGGACCAGAGGGTGTGCTCCAATTACAGGGACATCACTCTCCTTAGCCTCCCTGGTAAGGTCTATTCAAGAGTACTGGAGAAGTGAGTCAGATCGTAGGTTGAACCTCAGATTCAGGAGGAACAATAGCTATGTTTACATGGTCAGAGTCAGAGTCAGAGATTCTTTTGGACATAATCAGATTAAACGGCCATTCGGAATAAAAATGTGTCATGTAAACGCTCCATTCGGATTAATCTTTGCTGATTCAGCTCGATCTGAATGAATCTGTAATCACAATGAGACGGGTGTTTGATGTCAATTCATAATCTGAACAGTGTGCATGTAAACACTTAATCTGATCATTTTTTTCCGAACGTGGAAAACCGACCTGACTGTTCATGTGTGATCTATGTCTGCCTCACGTATTTCCACCTGGCTAGATGTTAATATGTCAGGGAAGCAGAGTGTGAAGCGGCTGGGATGAGAATCAACACCTCCAAATTTGAGGCCATGGTCCTTAGTCGGGAAAGGATGGATTGTTCTCTTTGGGTCGAGGGTGAGGTTCTGCGTCAAATGGAGGTGTTCAAGTACGTTAGGGTATTGTTCACAAGTGAGGGAAGAATGAAGCGTGAGATTGACAGACGGATTGGTGTGGTGTCTGCAATATTGCAGACTCTGTTCTGGTCCACTGTGGTGAAGAGTGTGCTGATCTGTAAGGCAAAGCTCTCAGTTTACCGGTCAGTCTATGTTCCAACCCTCACCTATGGCCATAAACTTTGAGTAGTGACCAGAAAGGAGATCACGGATACAGACGGTTGAAATGAGTTTCCTCCTCAGGTTAGCTGGACTGTCCCTTAGAGACAGGCTGAGAAGTTCAGTTATCTGGGAGCGACTTGGAGTAGAATTGCTGCTCCTCCACATTGAGAAGCCAGTTGATATGGTTCAGGCATTTCTGACAGAGGAGAGCCCGGGGAAGACCCAAGACACGCTGGAGAGACTACATCTCTCAGTTGGACTGGGAATACCTTGGAATCCTCCCTGAACAACTGGCAGAGGTGGCTGTGGAAAGAGATGTCTGGGCCTCCCTGCTCAAGTTGCTGCCCCGGCGACCAGACTTCATAACAAGTGGAAGATGATGGATGGAAGGATGGATGGACGGACGGACGGACAGACGTTGTGACAAGCCTTTTGAAAGGCCTCAGACTGCAGCAATGGTGTCCATTTCTGTTCCCAGAGGGCCACTATCATGCACGTTTTGGTCGTTTCCCTGCTCTTCAGCATGTCCTGCAAAAGTGTCTTGGTCACTCATTCATTCAAATCAGGTGTGTATTAAAAATATGCAGGATAGCAGCCTCCAAGGACCGATTGGGCATCCCTGACTTGGAGAATTAGTCAAATTCGAACAGATAGACAAGCTAACGGCTAATTTGAATGGGGTCGTGAAAAGTGGACTGCTACCTTAAAACGACAACAAACGCAGAACTTTTACAGAGGTTCATGAAAATGTAAATTTACAAACCTTTACAGTATAGTCAGTGTTGTATTACAGAAGTTGCGTGTTTACAAAGATTTATGTGATTATTCATGAGTATAAACAGCATCAGCAGCAGCAGCTTGGGTCAATTCCAGCAGCAATATCACAATATATTACAGAATAACCATATCATGTGAAACTGACATGTAAAAAAAAAAAATTCATAAACTTCTAGGAAATCTTTTAAGATTGTACGTTTAAAAACAGGAGTAAATCACTTTGGTTTTGGCCTAATTCAGACTAGCCCTTAGCTTGAAGATCCTGTCAAAATAAAACTTTCTCCAAACTGATTTCATTCAAACGACCTGCAACATGTAAAATAATTCATAACGTTTCCACAAAACTTCACTTTAAAAGCTATGAGGGTAGCAAGCTTGATGACTAACTTTTACCAAATAGAAAATTATTAGCATTAAATTAGCACTATCAGGTTTTTATATAACCTCAGGGGTAAATTTAATTTATATTTTTATCCATTTAACTATTAGCTGACTATTTCTAGTTTCCCACACAAGACAGGCTCCAGAGCAATGTGGATATCCTAACTGGGCCTTCCTGAAAGCAGAGAAGAAACCCAAACAGGACTCCAGTCGGCCATCAGGTGAAAAGGAGGAACCCAGACCAGTGGTCATTCCGAATGTTGAGGGAGTATCAGAGAAACTGAGACATTTATTTTCTAAACATAACGTCCCAGTGGCTTTTAAACCCCAAAATACATTAAAGACTGGTTCATCCCAAAGATCCAGTCCCCCGGCACAAACAGAGTAATGTTGTGTATGACCTGACTGAAAAATGTTGGATTGTATACCTGGATTGAGCATGGACTTTGTTAATATTGTGTATGCTGTTCAGTGTCAGGAGGGCTGTGATCAGTCTTACATCGGGGAAACTAAACAGCCACTGGCCAAAAGGATGGCCCAGCACAGAAGATCAACATCATCAGGCCAGGACTCTGCGGTCTACACTCATCTCCAGGTCAGTGGTCACTCTTTCAGGGATGAAGATCCTGGATAGAGAGGAACGATGGTTTGAGAGAGGAGTTAAGCCCCCAGTATACTGCCGCGTACGTCCGTTCATGCGTACATACGCGTGTACTGTACGCAGAGGGTTCAGACTTAGTACTCCAGCGTACACCCCGAGCAGCTGCAGAGCAGCTTCACAGACAAGGGGCGTTTACCTTCGGGACAAACTGAGGTCGCTGATTGGTCATTTGCTGACACGCCTACTGGTTTGATTGACAGGTCGGAAAAAAGGAAAAAAGCGAGCGCTGGCAGCCTCAGCGGTGTTCTGTGTTTATATGTTGTTAATAAAAAGATCTAAAAAAAAAAAAAAAAAAAAAGGGAGCGCTGGCTCTGCAGCCCACACATCAGACCACCCCACCAGGTAATCTCAAGACCCTCCCGCAGCCATGCTGGACCAGTGTTTAATTCGCTCGTGACAAATTCCTTAATTTCTCACCATTTCAGTCATGGCATCAAC